CGGCCGTGCACCGCAGACGCTGGCGCTGGCCCGCTAGACCTCTGTTTGCCGCTTGCCTCCCCGCTCCGCCCTCTCAAGGTTGTCGGCCTCCGCGACGACGACCCGGACCAGCCGAGTCCCGCATTTGCCTCCTCGCTCGACTAGCCATCCGTGCGCGCGCCTCGATCGATGACGGACAAAATGTGTGCTTCCTTTGTTCCTCATGGACCACGGTCCCGGAGGTGATCTGCACTCGGCGATGGAGTGCAGGCGCGCGACGACCGGCGCGCACTGAGCTGAGCACACCCGAGCTCAAATGGCAGCGGCTTCCAAAGGAAGGGGTGGCGGAAAAACTATCAACTGTAAAATTCCTAGCTCGCGCGTGTGCAATAGAGAAGGAACCAAGATGAACAGCAAAAAGGAGGGGGGGACCATGAGAGATACACGCACCGGCTGCTGAAATCCACTGGTCGGATGCTGATGAGTTCGTCGAGTTTGGAGTTGAGCAAAGAGGAGGCCGAGGGTGTGTGTATCGGCCACGAGCCCAGGACTGTTCCTAGCAACTTGAAAAAGAAATTTGCAACCGTGTTGCTTTGAGCAACTTCACTTAAAAGGGAGTGCTCCACATGGGATGGCTTGGCGATGTTTCTCCCTAAGTGTGGAATGTCATTTTCAGCGGGGTCCAATGCTTTTATATGGGTGTGAATGTTACTTTCAATGTGGTCCAATGCTTCTTTATGTGTGTGAAACGTCATTTTTAGCGGGTCCTATCTAATCCTTATCATGACTTCAATGGACTTTATTGTCTCTAAATGTTCCATCTATGTTTTTTTGTAAATTTAATGAACATCACTTTTCGGCGCGGTCCAATGCTTATTTATATGTGTGAAATGTTCTTTTCAGCGGGTCATGTTTAATGCTTATCATGACTTCAATGGATATCACTATTTCTAAATGTTTCACCTATGCTTTTTGTAGATTTAATGGACATCATTTTTTAGTGCGGTCCGATGCTTCTTTATATGTGTGAAATGCATTTTTCAGCAGATCCTAGATAATGCTTATCATGACTTCAATGGACATCAGTGTCCTTGTTTCACCTATGCTTTTTTGTAAATTTAATGGATGCAAAAAATCGGTGTCACTGGATGTCTCACCTAATGATTTCCACATATTTAATGGATATGACTGGTCGATGTCACTAGTAGGGTTGTGCGCGCTTCCCTGTGCCGTTTGTGCTGTTGGAATATCATAATGCAATTTATTTAGTTTGGCGTGTGAGGCAGTGATGGTGTATATTTTCCTTTTTAATATAACGTAGTGTTCTGGTGGGCTCTTCTTGAATATCTGCTAATCAACCCACACGTATGTGGGAAAGTTTTTTGCGCTGGCGATCACATGTACTATGTTGTGTTACGGTGTCGTATGTTGATGATTCATTTTTGCCAGGTGATGAGTGGTTTGCGCGGGACTTATGTATTTTTATGGGCTAGTTGTTGCCGATTGATTTAAAAAATAATTGCCTTGGTCAAAATCATGAAGCAAATCCAAAATTAAACACATCAATCGAAATCATTGACCCAGTCAAAATTCTGAACCGGATCCAAAATTGAACACCTCGGTTCAATAATAGTCATGAGGCAAATTCAAAATAACCTCAATTAAAACCATTGACCAATCAAAATCGTAAACTGGATTCGAAATTGAGCTCCTCAATTGAAACGAGGGAGCTAAAATTACGGTCCATGGTGTATTTATGGTTTATAGGTGGATTATTAGATGTTCCATTTAACATTTCTCACAAATTTGATAAAGAGTAAAATGCTCTCTGAGTATCTAATGAACTTGCTGGTAAAAGTTCTTATACTTATCAGTGTATACTCGAGCAGTTGGTCGATGGGCACGTCATATACTGAATAGAATTATGTGTCCATCTGCCATTAATAACAATGAACCATCTGTGCTAACTCCATTAACAAGAATGAAACTGCCTAGCCATTTTGTCAGACTTGATAAGATGAGTAGAGCTTTGACCACATTAAGTCAGATTTGCTAATCGACGCATGTTGTGTCCAGATTATCTCAGCATGCTCACTGACATTTCTTCTCTGACATTTCTCCACGCTGCCGGCCGTGCACATAATGGACTCTGTTTGTGCTCCAAAGTCTCGGTATCCACCTCCTCCGTCAGACTTGCCAAAAGATGGAGCGAGCTGCATACAGATTTCTGAAGTGTTAGACTTGCCAAAAGATCGGCGTATTCTGTGTACAGATTGTGCCATTATGCTCTGCATACAGCAGAGCAGATTGCAATTCCTCGGTGCCCTCAGACCACACCCACCTCGATCATACGCCAATGGATATCCTTGAGCCCAGCCTTCCGAACCCCTTCTTCTCCCACATTTTCCCACACTGCCGTTCCGGCCGGCCACGAGCCAGTGAGTCTTCCCAGCGTGTTAATTTTTTTTTTTGCAACTTTGGTAGCTTTGCTACATCTACGTAGATATTCCACGCCTATAAAAAATTTAGTAGAGTTCAATATTCTTTATAGGCGTGGATGCCATTTTTAATGGAGTCCAATATTATATATAGGTGTGGAATGTCGTTTTCAGTGAGGTCCAATACTCTTTGTAGGTGTGAATGTCATTCTCAATGAGGTATAATATTCTCTATTGGTGTGAATGCTATTTTCGTTGCGGCTCAATGCTTCTTTATATGTGTGAAATGTCATTTTCAGCGGGTCCTATCTAATGCTTATCATGACTTCAATGGACATCGGTGTCCCTAAATGTTTTAACTATGCTTTTTATAAATTTAATGGATGTAAAAAGTCACTGTCATTGGATGTCCCATATAATGATTGAGTCAATGGATGTGACTAGTTAATGTTACTATTATGATTGGGCGCGCTTTGCTACTTTGTCTGTTTTCTTAGAATATCATAATAGAATTTATTCAGTTTGGTGTGAGAGAGAGATGATGGTGTATGTTTTTTTATATAACACATTGTTTTGGCGGGCCCTTTCTAAAATTTAGATTTTGTGTTATCTGCTAATCAACCCACATGTATGTGGGAAAGTTTCTTGCGCTGACGACCACATGTACTAAATTGTGTTACGGTGTCATATGTTGATGATTCATTTTTGCCAGGTGATGAGAGGTTGTGCGGGACTCATGTATTTTTATAGGCTGGTTGTTGCCGATTGATTTAAAAAATCGTTGGCTCGATCAAAATCACGAAGCAAATTCAAAATTGAATGCTTCAATCAAAATCATTGACGCAGTAAAAATTCTGAACCAGATTCAAAATTGAACACCTCATGAACCAAATTCAAAATAACCTCAATTAGAATCGTTGGCCCAGTTAAAATCATGAACTAGATTTGAAATCGAACACCTCAATCAAATGAGGGAGCTAAAATTAGGGAGCATAGTATACTTATAGATACATGGATTAGATGTTGCATTTAATATTTCTCACAAATTTAATGAAGAGTAAAATGCACTCTGAGTATCTACTAATAAACTTGTTTGTAGAAGTTCTTTTACTACGTTGGTCACTGAAGTAGAATTCTGTGTCCATCTACCATTAACAACAATGAACCATCTGTGTCACTGAGCACGCCCCTCCGCCTCGCTTCTTCTCTGGCATTTCTCCACGCTGCCGGCCGTGCACCGCGGACGCCGTCGCTGGTGCATAATGGACTCTTGTTTGTGCTCCAAAGCCTCGCCGACCTCCACCTGCTCCGCCAGAGCTGCCATTATATATGCTCTGCATGCAGGAGAGCAGAGCAGAGCGAGGCTGGATCAGCGTATTCTGTGTACAAGATCTTGCCATTATGTTCTGCGTACAGCAGAGCAGAGTGCAATTCCTCCGTGCCCTCACTCTCGCCGCCATGGAAGCACCACAGGCCACGTCCTTGACGAGTCCCGCGTTCTCTGTACACTCGACCATCCATTAGTGCCGCCCCACCCTGTACGCGCGCCTCGACGACGAACGCTACGCCATGCCTACGTGCTTCCTCTGTTCTCCATGGACTACGGTCCCGGAGCCGATCTGCACTCGGGGCTCGAATGCAGGCGCGCATTGAGGACTGAGTTGAGCAGACCCGAGCTCAAATGGGATCTGGCTTGCCTGCTCCCTCCCCGTGCTCCCACTTAATCTTACGGCTGTCTTTTTTTCCTTTTTTCTTCCTAATCTAATCATCTCCCCCCTTGATTTTAAGGGAGTGGGGCCGGGTCTTATTTTGCTCCAATCAAATCAAGCCACATAGACGGGAGCACGGATAGGCACACGACGGGGGAGCAGGCAAGTCTCGTCCGCTCAAATGGCAGCGGCATGCAGAGAATGTTAAGTTGTATATTTTTGTACCAATTGTAACGTTGTACTATCACGTTGTATCGATCCTAGATTGTAGGATCTGAGGTCTCCCGCATGGCCTGCGTGCCTCAACTCTTGGGACTCTCTCTCCCTCTCTATGTATACTCTCATGTGTAACAGAATCAATCAAGGAAATTTGCACAAACACTTTCCAACTTGGTATCAGTCGCCAGGACCCTCTTTATGGCCGCGGACGACACCTCCTCCTCCTCCGCCGCCACGAGCTCGGTCACGTCGCCGGGCACCTCCTCGGCGCCAGCCGCCGGCACCTCCCCGGCTACGGCCCCTCCCTTCGTCTTCGGCACATCTGATGTCGTGGTTGGATGTCACAGCTAGAGGCACACTTGGGTACATCGACCTTGAGTACCTTCACACAGGTCATCTGAAGCCGGCGAGCGACGTGTACAGCCTCAGCGTGGTTAAGCTTGAGGTTCTGACAGGGAAAAAGGCGTTTTCCCAAGAAAAGGAGGAGATGAATAGAGATCTGGCATCCTTTGCACTCCCCATCATTGAGGCCGATAATATTGAGGAGATGCTAGATAGGCGACCTGTACCGGAGCCAACGCCATGGCACCTGCACGCACTGAAGCGTGTGGCGCAGATTGCACGATGCTGCGTGAAGTTTGCCGGGAAGGACCGGCCCGCCATATCAGGCATCGTTGCCAACCTCGAGACGGCATGCGAGTTGATCTGCAGAGATGAGCCAGATTCAGTTGACAAGTCTGGTTTGTGGCCCTTCCTTGAAAAAGTTGACGACTCACCAGACTCTCCACATGCCAGGAGCATGCCTCTGTTCTGATCTGGTACACTAGAAACTAACTGAACTTTGTTCACATTAATGAATTCAGCTATGTACAGTGGCGGAGCGCGAACCAAAAATGAGGGGGGCCAACAGGTTCAGATTTATGAAAAAAAAATAGCAAGTAAAAGCAAGAAAGTGCAAGTTCATGGAGTGAATGATTCACTAAAGATTCAGCAAAAATGAATGCATAGCTGTTCCTCTGTTTCTGCCCATTGCTACCTAAATTGGAATTTGTAAACAAATTTTTATCAACTGAAAAATAGTAATTCCACATTTGTTCTTTTACTTGAAGTAATCTACTTACCCTGACCATCTAAAATAAAGAAATAAAGGTGGTCTGCAATTTACATGTCAAGATAGAATTGCTGAAACTTAAAGCCACATAACATAAATGGAGTCATCGCTCCCAGCTTGCAACTTGCAAAAACTGAATCGCCAGCACCCCGTCCCCCCCAACCACCCCCTCTCGCGCGAATTTGCAGGTATAGCCTGCAGATCCACTTGATACTCACTTGCTACTGCTTGATTTGAGAAAGGATCTAGAAGAAAAGAGCAAGCATACAAAGTGGATTTGGGGACTGGATTGGGAGGGGACTCGAGCAGTTGCTCAGGGGGTCAGGGGAGTAGGGGACTAGTGGAGAATGGAGATGAGGAGGAGCCGAGGAGGAAGAACATGTGGCCACTCAGGGAACTAGGGTAGGAGAAGTTGAGAGGAGGAGGAAGACCTGGAAGTGGCAGCAGTCACCATGGGGGGCGACCAGAGGAACGGGGATGGGGCGGCGAACCACTCGCTCCTCCCTCGTCACGGGCTGACGATCGTCCTAGTCCACCGCGGGCCATGAAAATGGGCCGTGTATCCTATAAATATATTTTTTGCGCCGACAGAAGGGGTGGCCACAGCCTGGAATTGTCCCCACGACGCTCCGCCAGTGCCTATGTACATACACTGATGAAAGAGGCTCACTGCTCATTTTGTGGTCTCTTCCTTAATTAGGAACCTGAGGTGTTGGAGGATGGGCCTTGACACCAATCGTCCAAGGTGCATTATACCATGGCAGGCTTCATGGCCGGTGACAAGTGGCCTTCAATCACATTAACCACCCGACGAGCATCATTAGGTAATCCCCCGGTTCTAGTAATCTGCAGGCTTAAAAAAAAACTCCCCTCTCGTTAGGGTTTCTCTCTCCCCTCGAGCGACGGCGACGCCGGCACCGTAGGGATCTTCTCTCCCCGGCTATTCACCCCCTTCCGGCGATCGCTGTGGCCCGTGGCCGCCGCGGCGTTCGGGGAGGGCGGGGACTTCCTTGGGACCTACCGCTCGCGGATCCCTACCCTCGAGCAAGCGCATGATGGATTCGACTGCATCTGGATCGAGTACGGCTGCGTCCGATCTGGATGCGATGATGGAGGAACTTGGCCTGAAAGAAGATGATCTGGTTGATGTCGTGGTGGAAGACACCGAGCTGCCGAAGGAAGAGACACGTTGGATGGCTCTGGCTAGGGTTCACACAGAGAAAACATATAGCCAATATTGGTTTTATAGGAATATGAGGGTGGCCTGGGACCTAGCTCAGGAGGTAAAGATTAGACCACTCGAAGATAATATGTACTCAATGCAATTCTCCTGCCTGGGTGACTGGGAGAGGGTTATGGGGGATGGCCCTTGGAACTTCAAGGGGAAAGCAGTAGTTCTCTCGGAGTACGATGGCTTCACAAAGCCGTCGTCTATAGAGCTCAATAAATTGGACATCTGGATTCAGATCCACGACCTGCCGGATGGCTTCTTCTCTAAGGTCAAAGCTTTGTCGGCGACTGTGGGAGAATTCATATATGTTGAGCCTAGATCCCCGGATTTTGAAGGAAATTTTGCTAGAGTTCGAGTCAGGATCGATGTCACTAAAACATTGAAGAACGCTGTCTCACTGGTAATAAGGAAGAAGGATTCGATGGAGTGAGTCATCTTTAGAGTTAAATATGAAAGATTGCCGGATTGGTGTGCGGTTTGCGGACATCTAGGCCACCAACACAAAGAGTGCGGGGATGGGGTCCATGCCCCAAAGACGCTGGTCTTCAAAGACATCAAGGCAACGTGGTTTAAAGGCCCCAGCAGTGGACCGGGCGAGAGCAGCAACGCAGGGAGAGGCCGCGGCAGAGGCCGTGGGGGAAGAGGAAGAGGATGTTCGTACAATAGTGCTGATTTGTACGACGAACAGTATCCCGAGGAACGGTTTCAGCGAGATGGAGATGTAGCAATGACGGAGGTGGATCGCAATAGGAAGAGAGGGGCCAATGATCCAAAAACCACGCTCCCAACCTCTTCAGTACAACAGACGAAGCAACTGTTTCTGCCATCACCTGCGGTGCCTTTTAGCCCTCCTCCCAAGCAGGATCTAAAGAGATCGAAGTCATCCTCGTCTAATGAGACAGCTCCAGAGAAGATTACAGATTTCACCAAAAACCTTGATGCGTGTTTGGCGGGCTCCCATGGGGAGTCTCGCCATGCGCAATGAGTCTACTATGCTGGAACTGTCGTGGAGCAGGCAAACCCGCGACAGTTCAGGAGCTTCGTGATCTCACGAGGCAGTTTGCCCCCTCTGTCTTATGTATATTGGAAACCCAATTAGAGGGAACTAGAGTTGAAAGTTTGGCTGGTACTTTAGGCTTTAATAGAAGTTTTGCTGTAAGCAGTTCTGGTAGAAGTGGTGGTCTAGGAATTTTTTGGAACGAGGAAATAAATCTTGAGATTGTTGGTTACTCGAAGTATCACATTGATGCAATGCTGAATGATCTTGTGGATGTTAAAACAAGGGTCACTTTTGTCTATGGCGAGGCTCAGGTCAATGAGAGATACAAGACATGGGACACTCTTAGGGGAATCGTAGGCACAAACGATGTACCCTGGCTTGCCCTCGGAGATTTTAACGAGGTGCTGTATGCACATGAACACGATGGTGTTGGAAACAGAAGTCAAGTGCAAATGAACGCGTTCAGGGATGCTTTGGATACATGTGGATTAACTGATATAGGTTACGTCGGAAGTGGATGGACCTTTGAAAAGAAAGTGTCTGGGGGGACTTACACTCGAGTGCGACTTGACAGGGGAGTAGCTAATCCCGCTTGGTCGCTTGCTTTTCCATCTGTTGTACTTGAACACAAAACTGCAGCAACTAGCGATCATCTACCTATTTACGTGCAGTACGTGCATGAGGAGCCATGCAGACGGGCCCCCAAATCATTTAAATATGAGCTTGCATGGGAGCGTGACCCGGGTCTAACACCATTGGTAGAGAATTCCTGGACTAGTGGACAAACGGAGTCAATACAGGAAATAAGCGACAAGCTGAGGTCGCTTTCAACAGACCTGGCCACATGGGACAGACAGCAGTTTGGGAATGTGCGGCGTGAGATCCGAAGCATGCAGAAGGAATTACAGGATTTGCGCGCGATCCCAAATCGCTCCGTCCAAATCATCTGGAAATTAAAATAGTTGACAGGTTGACAGAACTTTAGCATAGGGAGGAAATATTATGGCTTCAGCGTGCTCGAATAGAGTGGCTCCAACATGGTGATAAGAATACATATTTCTTCCACCTAAGGGCGAGCCGACGCAAGAGGAAGAACCAAATAAAATCCCTTCAACTACCTTCTGGACAGATGACCGACAACTTAACAGAGATGGAAAATTTGACCAATGATTTTTACCAGCAGCTCTATACTTCTGAAGGGGTTCAGGACATGGACCAAGTACTAGAGACTGTTCCGGTGAAAGTGACACAAGCAATGAATGATATGCTAAATGCCCCATATAGTCAGAAAGAGGTTAAAACAGCACTCTTTCAAATGTACCTAGTGAAAGCGCCCGACCCAGATGGTTACCCTGCACATTTTTTCCAGCATCATTGGGATATTTGTTGTGAGGATGTTACAAGGGCAGTTCTGAGGATTGTTGACGGTACTGAATCAGCGGAGTGTATTAATGATACGGTTCTTGTGCTCATCCCGAAGGTAAAAAACCCCACACTCCTCTCTCAGTTCCGCCCTACCAGCCTTTGTAATGTGCTGTATAAGATTGCCTCGAAAGTTATATCTAACAGATTAAAGTTAGTCCTTCCTGATATCATCTCAGAGGAGCAGTCAGCATTTGTTCCTGGAAGGTTCATAACCGGTAACATCATAACAGCCTATGAGTGTCTTCATTTTATGAAGAGGAATAAGGCCAAGAAACATCAATCCTGTGCTCTAAAGCTTGATATGATGAAAGCATACGATAGAGTGGAATGGGACTACCTACAGGCAATAATGCTTAAACTGGGCTTCTCTGAAAGATGGGTCCAAATAGTGATGAGCCTGGTGACAACAGTGAGATTTTCAGTTTTGTTTAATGGAAAGAAATTGCAACAATTCATACCTTCCAGAGGGATCAGACAAGGGGACCCAATATCTCCATACTTGTTCTTGTTAGCAGCAGAGGGCCTGTCGTGCCTTCTAAAATCAAAAAGTGAGTCATCCAACTTGCATGGCCTACAGGTAGCACATACGGCGCCACCGGTAAACCATCTACTATTCGCTGATGACAGCCTGCTGTTTTTCAAGGCAAACGGTGCTGGAGCCAATGGGGTGTGCCATGTTCTGAACACTTATTGTCAGGCAACGGGGCAACGTATCAACTATGCTAAATCTTCTATATATTTCAGCAAGGGAGTTCCAGACTCTATCAGACAGGAAATCAAGGAGACTCTGAACGTCCCCAACGAAACACTAAACGAGAAGTACTTGGGGATGCCGTCTGATGTTGGCAACTCTATGAACGGTTCTTTCAAGTATTTGAAGGATCGGCTCTAGGGAAAGGTGCAGGGATGGATTGAGCGCACGATGTCTACTGCGGGCAAAGAAGTTCTAGTTAAATCTGTAGCACAATCAGTTCCAGTGTTTTCGATGTCTTGTTTCAAGCTACCTCGGGGCCTCTGTGAGCATCTAAACAAGCTGATAAGAAAGTT